GCATCCAGAAACACTGATGACAAAAACAAGATTACAGATATTCCTAGAGCCTGAAAAATGCTAAAATAATGATTGGTAACTATCTTCACTATTCGATAATGATAACAAATTACGATTTTGATGCGAATAGTCAGGGAAAATTGACTCTGCTGAATCGGGTATCTTTATCAAAATTAAAAACTCTGAGTCATTTGACTCTAACCGACATCTCAGGCAAGTTGACTTGTAAAGTTGATTCCCCAAAACGAATAAATCGAAAATTGTACATCTACGGCATATGACAACTCTTTAAATTTGTAAATAGTGATTCGAATTTGAAGTTCTGGGAATTTTAAACAGAGTGTATCTACCAAAGAACGAACCATTGTTGGGGAGGATATTGTAGCCGGAATAAGCTAGCTAAATGACAAAGCCTCTCAGGAAGTCGGATTGGTTTTTCCAACGGGTCAAAGGTGACCTCTAGTAATCAATTGATCACTGTCATGTGAAAAAGTGCACATGTGATGAATCCTTAATTTTTATTATGAAAAAAACAAAAATATTTTGCAATATACGGATTCAATTGTCTTTGTTTACAGTGGACAGACATCTATCGGTATGTGATCTGAAACTATGGCAACTCCAACACAGTACTTTATAAACATTAATGGCGACTTAGACTACATGACACATAAATTGTCGTAGACATGTTACAATAGTTATTTTCGTTTACTTTTTCAGTAACATTTACTCAGTAAGAATTTACTGGTAGTAAAAATGAAAAAGAGATTAAAAACTAAACGAATAGCATCCTGTAAAAAAGATGTACCTATACAGCTTATTACAACAACAAAAAGTTTGGAAATAATAACAATGAGTAAAAAAATGAATAGCTAGAGAAAATATGTTATTTGTTCTTGCGTTTTCGTAGATCATTTTAATGTTTAAGGATACAAAATCAAAATAAACGTTACCAACATTATTTTTATTTGTAGTGTTTTGTTTGTTTACAAATTATAACAAACAGCTGATATAAACAAACGAACATACTTAATTCCTGATGGACATACTGTTGTGCCTCGTTAATACTTGTTGTTAAATATTCTGAAATGAAGAATATAACCGTATAAGGTAATTAATAAAACTTAACTATAAAATAAAATAACTAATTACCTGAAATTTGACTGAAGTCTGGTTCAGGCATATTTTTCCTTAATTCGTTATAGCTTTTCGAGGACCATCCGTGTTCCAGTAAATGTGTAATTGCAGCCGCTTTGCTTTGACGTTTTATTTTAGGTTTAGAAGAGTTCTTTGAAGATGTTGCTTCCCGGTTTTCGTTTGATTCATTGTGTGGTGTTTCCTGCTCGTCGCTTTCAATATCGTCCATAGGAATATGCTTCTCTTCTTTCTGTTCATAGTCACCATAGGTTGAAAAACTATATTCTTCATATTGTGCATTGCTGTCTTCATCACTATCATCTTGCAAAGCTTCATTTTCAACCTTTATTTCTATATTATCACAATTATTCATTTCGAAATGAATCCTTAATTTTTATTATGAAAAAAACAAAAATATTTTGCAATATACGGATTCAATTGTTTTTGTTTACAGTGGACAGACATCTATCGGTATGTGATCTGAAACTATGGCAACTCCAACACAGTACTTTATAAACATTAATGGCGACTTAGACTACATGACACATAAATTGTCGTAGACATGTTACAATAGTTATTTTCGTTTACTTTTTCAGTAACATTTACTCAGTAAGAATTTACTGGTAGTAAAAATGAAAAAGAGATTAAAAACTAAACGAATAGCATCCTGTAAAAAAGATGTACCTATACAGCTTATTACAACAACAAAAAGTTTGGAAATAATAACAATGAGTAAAAAAATGAATAGCTAGAGAAAATATGTTATTTGTTCTTGCGTTTTCGTAGATCATTTTAATGTTTAAGGATACAAAATCAAAATAAACGTTACCAACATTATTTTTATTTGTAGTGTTTTGTTTGTTTACAAATTATAACAAACAGCTGATATAAACAAACGAACATACTTAATTCACTTTAAATTCCACCCACTTTAAATTCCCCATATGTCGGAAGAAGAAGAACATACATGGTATAATAATAGAAGGTAACAGCAAGTGTTGTTGTACAAAAAACGATACAACAACCACATGGAAATTTGTTGTTGTAAGTTCTACTAGTGTCAACTCATTTGACAGAAAAATGTAAACAAACAAACAAATTATCATCAAATTATTTTTATTTTGAAAATGAAATATTTTCGAATTCTCAAAATAAAAATTGAAAAACATGAATGAAAATCTATGAAATTTATATTTCTATCGCTTCCAGATCTTTCCCATAATTGAGCCATTGCCACTTATATGTGTAACACATATGAAAATGCTGGGAATAGCGAGTTATTCCTTGAAGAAAGATTTGCTTCCTCAAACTTTCCCAGCAGGCAGATTGAGTAAATTGAATACGGGAGCACATGTAATAAAGAACAATTTCAAATTGTATGCTTTTCCAATTTTCCTGTTGGGTGATTTTTAAAAACATAATTTGTCAAATTCACATTGACACTAGTATTACGTTGGAATCAAATCAGCTGGGATTTGCTGTTACCTTTTATTATTGTACCATGAAGAACATACTTAATAATAAAGGTATATGGTCTGTTCCCGTACTGCAAGAACCTACTACTTTTTACTACGATAACAATTTTTTCCTTTAGTAAAATCGAGTAGATTCATGCAGTACGGGAACAGACCAATATTTTGTGAAGAAAATAGGAAAATATAACTCTGCTGTAGTAACTTATTACTTCTCCCGGTTTTCCAAGCTAAAAACTTCGCGATTTGGAAGGCAGAGGAATTGATAAAAAGTCTGATACAGAGGTCTTTGAACCGGTGACTAACTTCGTGGATAGTCAATCGGCTTTTAAATCCATCAAATCTTGTTATATCAATGATGAGCAGACGAATTAGCTAGACGAGGACTTCAATCCACAGATCTAACAATTGATGACTCAATCAAACCCCCCATATGTCATTTTTATTGGAAATTTTAGGCGTTCTTCGACGAAAGAGCCTATGAACTTTAGCACAACGAACCTAGGTGCAATGTGTCAAGATCCTTTTTGCCGAATCCTTCTACCAAAAGGACACATTCACTGTTGAACCTGAGCAAAGCTGAAATAAGAGTAATGACAGGAATCATTACAACAACTGAACCTGCTCTAATCTAAAGCATAATTAGTAACCTAAAGATATTGACACGTAATATATCTTCTATCCGATCTCTATAGCCATCGATACTGTTTCAAACATAGATTTCTCCTTATCTCTCTATCTTTTCATGGATGATCATAATGGACATGACGGTCTCAGAGTGCTGTAGCCACATAATCCTTGACCATTCTGGTTTGGGTTCCGTTTGATTCCCCACTCCATCTTCCATATCTTGTTGGGACAGAATATTCTGCATATGATCCTTGTTTATTAATACATGTCTGCCATATTTACTTGTAGTTTGGATATGTCCCCCTCCAAAGTTTGTACATCGTATTTTTTTTCAAGCTTAAATAAAGTTCGAAGATGGGAAATATAGGTCCACTCCTCCCAGAAATTGGCTAATAGTTTAACAAAGGCTGTATAGCTTTTCGGTTTACTCCTTCCACGACTACCAGAACATTGCGATTTTATGGTAATTGAAAAAGACGAGGATCACAATCTAGAGGTCCAGTAATCGTTAACTCAATCAAACCACCCATTTGTCATCTTTTTCGAATTATTGAGACATTCTTCGACGTAAGTGCCAGCTAACTAACTTGCTGTTAAACCTGTGAAAAACTGAAATAAGCATAATGACGGAAGTTATAATTGGGCACTGATATGTCAGTAGTGCTATTCTGTAACTGCTTAACGACAGAATTGCCGATAACTGCAAATTTTAACATCGTTAATTATAGAAAATATTCGCTAGTTTAACGATCAAAATAAAGCAGTCGTTAAGCCCTACCGATAGATATAAAAAAGTTATCATAAATTTTAATTTTACTGATATTTGTCGGGTCTGGCTGTAAATGGCGAGAAGAACAAGCTGATGCTATCAACGCGCAAGTCGTCCAGTAGACTCGGACAAAGTGTGTAACTTTAGAACAACACCTTCGAGTAGTTAAATATTTTATATATCGTGGTACCGCCATAAATAAAACCAATTACATCATTTTTGAAATTCGGAGAAGGATAGTATTGGCCAACATGATATATTCTATCATGTAATGTTAACGTAATAGGTTTGGCAGACATTTCTATCAAACCTAAAATGGACTTAAACCCCTTTCAAAATAAACGACCCATTTATGAATGAATATATACATCGAACGGAACATTAACTTTCATCCAAATTATGCACAAAGTTATATTTTTACCAAACCTTTATCAATCCCGGAGATATACCCTTCTGGTAGCTCCCCCACGAAAACTAGTCATTTGCATATAAATCGAATGGAGTATCCGATTTAATCAACAGATTGCACATCCTGATATTTTTATCAAACCTACATTAAATCGAAGATTTTAGAGCAACATTTTCTGCATGGTAGGTGGGACAAATTATTATCCCACCCTTTACTTCTTAATGGATATACAACCATGTTTATATTTTCTATACCCATAAATTGTAAATAACTCCATGATAAATTTAAGTATACAATCATTAATTTAACTTTATTCCATCGATCGTAATATTAAACTAAAATAAAAATTTTTGAACACTTTCAACATATCGTTCGTTGTTTAGCTTAGTACTCAATGCATCCTTTTGCATCCAGGCGAAATTTTTGCTAATATTTTTATCCACATTTCCATTTTTAAGCGAGGCTCTGAAAAAGAATACCTTAGCACCCACTGATTGATCCCTTACTGATGCAGGATACTTATATTTGTAAAAACCACAGGGAGCATTGCCGTAGAAGAGCAAATCTAATTGGTCGCCACATTTTTCACGTACAATACGTTCGGCAGCTTGGCGCATGGTTTCACCATCCAAACGTGGACCTTGGGGCAGGAGGAAATGTTTTTTAGAACCCACGGTTTGTTCCACCAATAGGTATAATGTGTCGTCTAAACAACGATTTGTGGACAATATATTGTTGGCTTTGTCGTCAGCTGTTGTACGTGAAGCTTTCTCGAATTTATTCAGTTCTTCGGTATATGCATCCTTCAGATCTTGGGCAGTTTGCTTCGATGCGGCTTCATCCAAATCTACTTGTCCTTTCTTTAAAAGTTCAGCCTGCTTCAAATCACGTTCATGTTGAAGTTCACTGTCGGATTTCAGAGATTTTTCAAATTCAACACGCCACAAATATTCTTGGAATTCTTTTTCTAAAGCATTTAACTCTTTGGATACAACGGGCAGCCTCTCAACCAGAACACCGGCATATAAATCCCACTTTTCTTGTTTTGCTGCTGCACCTGGAGCAGAGGCAAATGGACGAGACAGCGAAAGGGTATTCAAGCGCACTTGATTGGTGAGAATAACCGTAGCTCTTCGCAACATGTTCAGTAAATTATATTCTTAAAACTTCTTAATATTAAATAACAATAAACAACAATGGAAGGCAAATAATTCCGAACAGCTGAACATAACCTACAATTGTTAGTTTTGCACAGTTGGATAAAGTGTACTAAATGTTTTTATATATAAAACTTTTTGAATTAAATATAAAATAATTTATATTAAATATTGCATTTTCATTATCATTCTATCTAATAAAGTGTAAATTAATTGCGTTTTTTGTAATAATTATTCTATTTTCCTGTTGTTTTACACTGTGTTATTATTCTACAGTGATTGCCGTTAGAAAAAATAGTAGCAACACCAGATGTCATTTCACTGTAATCAGCTGTTCTTCTGTCCGCTCCCCATTCGTATATACAATTTTCGCGTGGTGTTTGTAATATTCTGGCCGAAAATAATAATTATTTGTACAATACTAAACTATTTTTTGAAGAAATAAAAAACTGGCATCAACAAATAAGGTATTTAATAATTATTTGCTATATATATTTATTTTAAATATGTTAATTTGTATTTGTGAGAAAATTCTAACCTCTGACTACAACAAATGTATGGAAATATGTGGTGGATACATCTTATTGTGGGCATGTTAGAAAATAATATAGTGCAGCTTCTCCGATGTTGTGTTGTTTTTAATGGGCAATTGTTATATACGTTTATGTGGACCAATGTAGACTATAGGTGTGGGGTAACCGTTGTCTATACAACTTTTACTAGAAAAGATACAACCGGCATCGTTGGCAACAAAATATGGACCTCCGCAATGTCAAACAATTTAACATGCCTCGGCCTTAAAACAATACATATCGCTGTTGTAGCATGGTGTCGTAGACAACAGTTATGGAATTATTTCATTTTACCGAAAGTCTACAAAGCAATTCCAAGACGAACAATAATCTGGATAGCAACACATGTAATGATCCAACGTATGTACCTGTGTGGAACGTAAAATTACGGCAACAGTTGTAAACACTAAAATTAAAATTTTTATAATTCCTTTAGTATCTTCCAAACATTGACTGTTTCTATATCCAAAATTCACAAATTGAACAAATTTTGATGTACATAATATCTATATCAAGTTAATCGACAAATATCGATATTTGATCTCTATGTGTCTATGAAACTGCTTGTACTCTCAACGATTATATGTAGGATATAATATTTTATTTTTTGTTCTAGACAGATTCAAGTTAATTTATTCCGATTTAGTGCGAATACTTCTTGTACCGATGTAAATCATTAAACAAAGATGAGCATATACTAGTTTAAAATTTTGTGTTGTCGGAGGGTGAAAATGTTATCAGCATAGGCCCATTTCAACACACAAAGAATATAAAGGAACCCTATAACCTTTAAATGGCAATACCACCTTTATCTAAACTATTTTGTTTAATGGTTTGCCTTCTATACTGCTGTATCTTCATGATTTCAAGAAAAATTCTGTTGTGTTGTCTGGGTTAAATGTCCAATGAAATGTCATATTTTTGGTATACATTTCTTTAATTTTATTAAAATAAACATACGTAAATACTCTTATTCTACACCGCTAATTTGGTGATTTATGGAACCAAAAATATAAATTTTTCCTTTCGTTTGAGCCACCTCGAAATATTAAACCAAGTCCCATTGAAATATTTATTCTTTATCTGAATAAAATTCAATGTCGTAGTCCGTCTATTGGAATCATTATAAGAGCACGTTATATTTGCTTAGCATTAGCAAATATAACGAAGCTTGGTATTGAAAATGAGATATATATGAAAAAAAAAATCCTGATCCATTTTTAAGTATAGGCATTATATAATGGAACCACCCGAATGTCGGCATTTAGGTGAGATAAAGCCTGGTTTTCAAACAAAGTATTAAGTATTTAGTATTTTTTATTCTCCTTTTTTGTAAGACCCCGCATTACGGCGCCTCCCAAATGTCGGTCACGTTTTTACACTATATTGACTTTTAATTAGTGTTATGCTGCCGCTGCCAAAACTGCCGCTTTTCTGTTTTTTTTTTTTTATTTTTAAAAACAGATGGCTGTCCTCCTCCAGCTAGTCCACTTTCTATTAAAATAGAAGATATAGGACCATACACCATATGTAGACACCATCCACCGTCCAATCTATGAATACTTTGGATTACTGTTGTATAAAAACGAGATCTTATAAACAATTTTCGCTCAAATTTGTATTCGATGATAAACTATTTCGGTAAACTAGTTCGGTAGACTAGATTTGGTAGATTGTAATTTTTTAAGCCCGTTGGCGTCATTAGCTCTTTTAAATGCGACTTTCTTGTCAGCCGTCAGAAGACAAACTTTTTTCTGCCCTTTATAGCCCACACAAAAGAATATTGCTTGTAACGACATCTCTAATTACGACATATCGGTTGTAACTATTTGTTGTATGTGATTTTTCCTATAAATGATAACGACGAAACCTGCGAAGAAAAATATTTCTCACAAAATACCGAAACCCCACCTGCTCAAAGATAGTGTCATGTTTTATTATTTCGTTCTTAAGAATTTAATTTCTATACAATATATATTATATTTTTCATTCTTTCTGTGATACACGTATCAGTGTAAATGTACAATATTATTATTATTATAAATTTATTTATTAATTTCAAAGCCAAAAAAGCCTTATATGACCAGTATACTACAAAATAAACTTAGACCAAATTAAAAATATAAATTTTAAAGAATAGTATTTATTTTCATGTAACATATGTTCAAGCTCTATAATTATTCATTAAAAGTAGTAGATAAAAATCATTTGAATAAGAACTACTCTGAATTGACTTACGAAAACATTAAAGTAAAATATTAACAGCCTGTTTTTGTAAAATTCAAAACGAAACAATTCGAACGAATTACTACCAAACCTTTATTTATGTAAAAAAATGTTTCTTGATTCAAAACAAAAATAAATGACACATTTTTCAAAACCAAGGAGTTTGGTCGTAAGTCACTCGAATTCGTTCGTTTAGAATTTTACAAAAACAGGCTGTAAGTAATTACAAAAATGTATCTTCAGTATTCAACTACTTGAATTTATTTCATTATTTATATATCAAAACAAAATATGTGTCTTAAAATTACTATGTATAACCAGTAAGGAAAGTAGTAAAGTCGGACGGGGCCGACTTTATGATACCCTTCACCACTTTGGGTGTATTCAACAGGACCATTAAAATGAAATTGGATGAACTAAAATAGTTGATATTTATTTAAATGTGAATCTACCTAGATATATCCATAAAGTATGTAAATCGACTTCAAACAAATATAAATAGGTCATCCGTTGGGCTATGTCTGTACTTCTGGAAAACGCAACTACGTAATTCTATGCTAAATTTTGTAAGTTGTGCAAAATTCGATGTCAATCTGACTAACATGAGGAGTTTGATGCCCAATTTACCTGAAACCGGGGGAAAATATATATGGAAGCTCTATCCAAATATTAAGCGATTTGAAACAAACTTGTCACAGATTAGTTTGTTCTAATTTCAGAAAGTTTTGTTCCTATCAGCTCATTGGTTCCTTGGTGCGTCAATTACTTAAAATCAATCTATAATAAAAGGGAGCTATATCTAAATCTGGACCGATTTTCACGAAAAAAGCAGACATCACTCTAGGCTCAATTCAGTACGTTATGCCAAATGTCGTGCAAATCGAAAGGTATATAGCGACTTTGGTGCACCATTTACATGAAATCGGACGAAACTATATATGGGAGCTATATAGAAATCTGGACCGATTTTCTCGAAACTTGGCAGATATCACTCTAGGCTCATTTCAGTACGTTATGCCAAATTTCGTGCAAATCGAAGGATATATAGGGACTTTGGTGCACTATTTACATGAAATCGGACAAAACTGTATATGAGAGCTATATCTAAATCTGGGCCGATTTTCTCGAAACTTGGCAGACATCACTCTAGGCTTAATGCAGTAGGTTATGCCAAATTTCGTGCAAATCGAAAGATATATAGGGACTTTGGGGCACCATTTACATTAAATCGGACGAAACTATATATGGGAGGTATATCTAAATCTGAACCGATTTTCTCAAAACTTGGTAGACATGACTCTGGGCTCAATTCAGTACGTTATGCCAAATTTCGTGCAAATCGAAGGATATATAGGGACTTTGGTGCACCATTTACATGAAATCGGACGAAACTATATATGGGAGCTATATCTTAATCTGGACCGATTTTCACGAAACTTGGCAGACATAATTCTAGGCTCAATTCAGTACGTTATGCCAAATTTCGTGCAAATCGAAGGATATATAGGGATTTTGGTGCACCATTTACATGAAATCGGACGAAACTATATATGGGAGGTATATCTAAATCTGAACCGATTTTCTCAAAACTTGGCAGACATGACTCTGGGCTCAATTCAGTACGTTATGCCAAATTTCGTGCAAATCGAAGGATATATAGGGACTTTGGTGCACCATTTACATGAAATCGGACGAAACTATATATGGGAGCTATATCTTAATCTGGACCGATTTTCACGAAACTTGGCAGACATAATTCTAGGCTCAATTAAGTGCGTTATGCCAAATTTGGTGCAAATCGAAGGATATATAGGGATTTTGGTGCACCATTTACATGAAATCGGACGAAACTATATATGGGAGCTATATCTAAATCTGGACCGATGTTCACGAAACTTGGCAGACATGACTCTGGGCTCAATTCAGTACGTTATGCCAAATTTCGTGCAAATCGAAGGATATATAGGGACTTTGGTGCACCATTTACATGAAATCGGACGAAACTATATATGGGAGCTATATCTTAATCTGGACCGATTTTCACGAAACTTGGCAGACATAATTCTAGGTTCAATTCAGTACGTTATGCCAAATTTGGTGCAAATCGAAGGATATATAGGGATTTTGGTGCACCATTTACATGAAATCGGACGAAACTATATATGGGAGCTATATCTAAATCTGGACCGATTTTCACGAAAATTGGCAGACATCATTCTAGACCTAAATGATTAGGCTGTACCAAATTTCGTGCAAATCGAAAGATATATAGGGACCGTTTACATTAAATCGGTTAAATATATATATGGGAGCTATATCTAAATCTGAACCGATTTTTCCCAATTTCAATAGGGTTCGTCCTTGGGCCGAATAAGTGACCTATGCCAATTTTCATCCAATTCGGATAATAAATGCGGCCTGTACTTTGTTTACAATTTAACATGGACAGACAGACGGACAGACGGACGGACGGACGGACATGCATAAATCGACTTAGAAAGTGATTCTATGCATATTCTCAAAAGGAACCATGTTTCTATCTCGATTATTTTTGCCTGTTACAAACATATGCACAAAGACATAATACCCTGTACCACAGTGTGGTGAAGGGTATAATATATATGACCTACACTTGGTTAATATCGCTTATAACGACCAAAGTCGCCGGTTTCTTGACTGTCGCTATACGCAATTTTGTGTTGCCAACTGTATTCGCAGCTTTCCCATATGAGTCATATCATTCAATGTGAATGACAAATATAGCTTCGTAAAGAAGAAGCAAATAACATAATCATTAAACATATGTTTTTGATGCCAGATTTGTTGTTGTTATTCAACTTTATTTATGTGTAGCTAAGTAGTAATTGTATCGTGTTAAAAACAGCGCGTACTCAGTGTTTTATTATTATTATTTCTATACAATTTAGTGATTTTTGTTTGTTCAAACCCCAATATTATTTATTCATTTGTAATAGAAAACATATAACGTTGACAAAAGATATGTTCTATTGTTTTGTGTATAAAGACAACGTAATATCAGTGTAAAACGACATAGTATCCCATACGCTAGTCCAAATTCTAGAGAGTTAGAAAAATGTCTTTAGCCTCAACATTGGCACTCGTTTTTACTGTGTTAGCTTCTGTAACAATTGTTGCTGCCATTATATTATTGGGTAAGACCTGCTGCTCCATTGAATATTATTTACATGTTTAATTGTTGGTGATGTAAAATTGTTGTGACGTCACTAAATAATACAATACACGCGAACTCCTCTCCATAGATATCAATCGAATTGCCTTAATGAATGGTGTTCTTTTTTCGCATTGTCATTAAATCATATTAGTATTTTTGTTGTGAAACTTTGACCTTATCAATATTTTTGAAAGAAATGATTTCTACTTAGTCTTAAGCATACACATACATGAGTACATATGAATTTGAACACGTATTAAACAATGTGCTTTTTGGTGATTTTTGCCATGCACGGAATTGTTCATGATGGGAAATAATTTGAATTAGCAAAACGTTATATTAATATAGAAAAATGCATTTTTGTGATTCTTTGTTAGCTATAAATATATTTCACCAGTCCAAATTATGTTTCTGAAGATGGCAACCCATCACTTTTGTTACCTCGCTCACAATTGGAGTATCGGATTTCATCCATTGATTGCCCATCGCAATAATTGTACCAAGTTCAAATTCAATGTTTGAGCCCATCGAGTGATATTCAGCGATTGAACCCAGTGCCCGAATGTATTTTTGGAACAAGTCTAGTTTAGGGCCCCCTCCCGTTTTGAAATTTTTACCACATGTAGTCCTTGGGGCCCTGATTATAACAGGGCTTCAAATGCTTTGAAATGATAACCATATTGCCTTAGTGAATTTTAAACATATGAGAAAATACAAAGGTCCCAACGGAACTTTGGAGGCCCATATCTCCAGAAATCAGGGCCCAAGCCGTATTTTTTACGTTCGTATCTCTAGCTTAACATTTAATTTCACTGTAAATTTAACATTAATTTGTTATAACATTTTCTCATTTCAGGCTGGTTCCTAATTTGGAAAGCATTCTTGTCTAAATTCAGATTAGTACGAGAACTCTTGGGACAGACAAATCCAGACGGCTCACCCGCAACTCCGGAAAAATCAACAGATTCTATAGGTGGAACAACACAGTCGCATGCAAAAAGTAGAAAAATAAGAAAAGACTAATTTCGAATCATTTGTAAACTTGTAATACATACTTACCTATCACCATGAATATTCGCTGTGCTAAACCTGAAGATTTAATGGCAATGCAACATTGCAATTTGCTATGCCTGCCCGAAAACTATCAAATGAAATATTACTTCTATCACGGACTTACATGGCCACAACTTAGCTACGTGGCCGAAGACGATAAGGGCAATATTGTCGGTTATGTTTTGGCTAAAATGGAAGAACCCGAATCCGGTGAGGATAGCAAACGTGGCCACATTACATCACTGGCCGTTAAACGTTCCTATCGTCGTTTAGGTTTAGCTCAAAAACTTATGAATCAAGCATCCAAAGCAATGGTGGAGTGTTTCGAAGCACAGTATGTTTCGTTGCATGTCCGCAAAAGTAATCGTGCCGCCTTAAACCTCTATACCAATACGTTGAAATTTAAAATCATAGAAATTGAGCCCAAGTACTACGCCGATGGTGAGGATGCATATGCTATGCGAAGAGATTTGGGTGAATTCGCTACAACAAAGTCTGATAATATAGAAAATCAAGAAAACAATCAAGATAACAATAAAATACATTATCGCGAATCTGGTACAGCAAATCATCATGATCACCATAATCATGATGGTCATTGTTGTTAGAATAATAGGGAGTAAAGAATAAATATGCTTCTAAGAGATACGGATAACCAATTTTTAAGAAACTACGACAAGATAAACAGAGTATTTTTGCAAATACCAATACAAAATAACTTTTGCATTTTATTACATCGTTTTTTATGATTCAGATGATCAGCAACTACAATTCTCTATCCTCAATGTGTATATAAAGAACAAAATAATAAGAAATCACAAAAAATGCATAATTCTTTAATAAAGAAACGAAAACTAAACGAAGAGTGTTTTATTTCTACAACCTTCTCAAATCTGTGGTACAGATACTTTATATTTGTGCATATGTTAATAAAGGAAACGAGAATGATCTATATTTATTTTTGAGAATAAAAATAAGACTGTCAGTCCATGTATTTAAATGGTGCACCAAGCTCGCCTACAAAAGACTCCCTTCAGCTCGTCTATGAAAGACTCCCTTCAGCTTTTCTATAAATGACTCCCTTCAGCTAGTCAATAAAATACTCCCTTCAGCTCGTCTATGAAAGACTCCCTTCAGCTCGTCTATGAAAGACTCCCTTCAGCTTTTCTATAAATGACTCCCTTCAGCTAGTCAATAAAAGACTCCCTTCAGCTCGTCTATGAAAGACTCCCTTCAGCTCGTCTATGAAAGACTCCCTTCAGCTCGTCTATGAAAGACTCCCTTCAGCTCGTCTATGAAAGACTCCCTTCAGCTCGTCTATGAAAGACTCCCTTCAGCTCGTCTATGAAAGACTCCCTTCAGCTCGTCTATGAAAGACTCCCTTCAGCTCGTCTATGAAAGACACCCTCCAGCTCGTCTATGAAAGACTCCCTTCAGCTCGTCTGAAAGACATCCTCCAGCTCGTCTATGAAAGACTCCCTTCAGCTCGTCTATGAAAGACTCCCTTCAGCTCGTCTATGAAAGAGTCCCTTCAGCTCGTCTATGAAAGACACCCTCCAGCTCGTCTATGAAAGACTCCCTTCAGCTCGTCTATGAAAGACTCCCTTCAGCTCGTCTATGAAAGACTCCCTTCAGCTCGTCTATGAAAGACTCCCTTTAGCTCGTCTATGAAAGACTCCCTTCAGCTCGTCTGTGAAAGACTCCCTTCAGCTCGTCTATGAAAGACTCCCTTCAGCTCGTCTATGAAAGACTCCCTTCAGCTCGTCTATGAAAGACTCCCTTCAGCTCGTCTATGAAAGACTCCCTTCAGCTCGTCTATGAAAGACTCCCTTCAGCTCGTCTGTGAAAGACTCCCTTCAGCTCGTCTATGAAAGACTCCCTTCAGCTCGTCTATGAAAGACTCCCTTCAGCTCGTCTGTGAAAGACTCCCTTCAGCTCGTCTGTGAAAGACTCCCTTCAGCTCGTCTATGAAAGACTCCCTTCAGCTCGTCTATGAAAGACTCCCTTCAGCTCGTCTATGAAAGACTCCCTTCAGCTCGTCTATGAAAGACTCCCTTCAGCTCGTCTATGAAAGACTCCCTTCAGCTCGTCTATGAAAGACTCCCTTCAGCTCGTCTATGAAAGACTCCCTTCAGCTCGTCTATGAAAGACTCCCTTCAGCTCGTCTATGAAAGACTCCCTTCAGCTCGTCTATGAAAGACTCCCTTCAGCTCGTCTATGAAAGACTCCCTTCATCAGTGATCCTCGGAATGTTTGAGACACTAAACTATCGATTAGTATATAGGCGGTTCTAATACATATGTAATTATAAAATCAGCTTTTGCATATCCTCATTGGGGTGTAGGGTATAACACATTCGAGCCGTGGACTATGTCCATTTTCCATTTAAATATTTTTCTATACTATATTTGTTTTACTTCATGACATTTTACGTTTTACTTCATGACATTTGGATCGAAGGCAGCTGTTTTTATACCCTTCACCACACTGTGGTACAGGGTATTATGTCTTTGTGCATATGTTTGTAACAGGCAAAAATAATCGAGATAGAAACATGGTTCCTTTTGAGAATATGCATAGAATCACTTTCTAAGTCGATTTATGCATGTCCGTCCGTCCGTCCGTCTGTCCGTCTGTCCGTCTGTCTGTCCATGTTAAATTGTAAACAAAGTACAGGCCGCATTTATTATCCGAATTGGATGAAAATTGGCATAGGTCACTTATTCGGCCCAAGGACGAACCCTATTGAAATTGGGAAAAATCGGTTCAGATTTAGATATAGCTCCCATATATATATTTAACCGATTTAATGTAAACGGTCCCTATATATCTTTCGATTTGCACGAAATTTGGTACAGCCTAATCATTTAGGTCTAGAATGATGTCTGCCAATTTTCGTGAAAATCGGTCCAGATTTAGATATAGCTCCCATATATAGTTTCGTCCGATTTCATGTAAATGGTGCACCAAAATCCCTATATATCCTTCGATTTGCACCAAATTTGGCATAACGTACTGAATTGAACCTAGAATTATGTCTGCCAAGTTTCGTGAAAATCGGTCCAGATTAAGATATAGCTCCCATATATAGTTTCGTCCGATTTCATGTAAATGGTGCACCAAAGTCCCTATATATCCTTCGATTTGCACGAAATTTGGCATAACGTACTGAATTGAGCCCAGAGTCATGTCTGCCAAGTTTCGTGAACATCGGTCCAGATTTAGATATAGCTCCCATATATAGTTTCGTCCGATTTCATGTAAATGGTGCACCAAAATCCCTATATATCCTTCGATTTGCACCAAATTTGGCATAACGCACTTAATTGAGCCTAGAATTATGTCTGCCAAGTTTCGTGAAAATCGGTCCAGATTAAGATATAGCTCCCATATATAGTTTCGTCCGATTTCATGTAAATGGTGCACCAAAGTCCCTATATATCCTTCGATTTGCACGAAATTTGGCATAACGTACTGAATTGAGCCCAGAGTCATGTCTGCCAAGTTTTGAGAAAATCGGTTCAGATTTAGATATACCTCCCATATATAGTTTCGTCCGATTTCATGTAAATGGTGCACCAAAATCCCTATATATCCTTCGATTTGCACGAAATTTGGCATAACGTACTGAATTGAGCCTAGAATTATGTCTGCCAAGTTTCGTGAAAATCGGTCCAGATTAAGATATAGCTCCCATATATAGTTTCGTCCGATTTCATGTAAATGGTGCACCAAAGTCCCTATATATCCTTCGATTTGCACGAAATTTGGCATAACGTACTGAATTGAGCCCAGAGTCATGTCTACCAAGTTTTGAGAAAATCGGTTCAGATTTAGATATACCTCCCATATATAGTTTCGTCCGATTTAATGTAAATGGTGCCCCAAAGTCCCTATATATCTTTCGATTTGCACGAAATTTGGCATAACCTACTGCATTAAGCCTAGAGTGATGTCTGCCAAGTTTCGAGAAAATCGGCCCCGATTTAGATATAGCTCTCATATACAGTTTTGTCCGATTTCATGTAAATAGTGCACCAAAGTCCCTATATATCCTTCGATTTGCACGAAATTTGGCATAACGTACTGAAATGAGCCTAGAGTGATATCTGCCAAGTTTCGAGAAAATCGGTCCAGATTTCTATATAGCTCCCATATATAGTTTCGTCCGATTTCATGTAAATGGTGCACCAAAGTCGCTATATACCTTTCGATTTGCACGACATTTGGCATAACGTACTGAATTGAGCCTAGAGTGATGTCTGCTTTTTTCGTGAAAATCGGTCCAGATTTAGATATAGCTCCCTTTTATTATAGATTGATTTTAAGTAATTGACGCACCAAGGAACCAATGAGCTGATAGGAACAAAACTTTCTGAAATTAGAACAAACTAATCTGTGACAAGTTTGTTTCAAATCGCTTAATATTTGGATAGAGCTTCCATATATATTTTCCCCCGGTTTCAGGTAAATTGGGCATCAAACTCCTCATGTTAGTCAGATTGACATCAAATTTTGCACAACTTACAAAATTTAGCATAGAATTACGTAGTTGCGTTTTCCAGAAGTACAGACATAGCCCAACGGATGACCTATTTATATTTGTTTGAAGTCGATTTACATACTTTATGGATATATCTAGGTAGATTCACATTTAAATAAATATCAACTATTTTAGTTCATCCAATTTCATTTTAATGGTCCTGTTGAATACACCCAAAGTGGTGAAGGGTATCATAAAGTCGGCCCCGTCCGACTTTACTACTTTCCTTACTGGTTTAAACTGCCGCCGTAATTTATTTCAAAACGGCTTTGTTGCGACTTTCGACGTAAACTCGTCAATGTGGTAACCTTTAACATAACGGTTTGAAAGTAGAAGAAAAAATGAAAACAATAATTAGTGAAAAATATATAAAAATTTGTAAATTGTTTTATTCGCGGAATGGTATCGATTGAGTTGTTTTGCTTGTTTGTGATAAATAAATCGGTTTCTATTAAATGCAACTGACTGTAACGTGAAAAAGGTTGTGTTTGTGTCAACGAATTCTTTCAGAGCCAATGTTTATGTTCTTTTTAAGAGTGAAATACATTTTTGGCTAAAGTGTAAGTATAGAATTGCAAATGTTTTTTTTATATTGCGCTAAATTACTTGATTTATTTGCAGGAATGGTGAGTACTATGAATATATTTTCATTTCCAACAAAATGCGTGGTGATTGGCAATGGTTGCACTAAGCATATAGGACATTGTAGATCGAGGCTTAACTCTAGTTTAGTAAAAACGATCAGATTTTTCTGAAATTTTTTTCCGGAGGTAGGTATTTTTACCCTAATTATGAGGATATCTTTTTTTCTTGGGGGACGTACCCGGTTACCCGGTTATTTGACCCGGAAGTTCGAGTACGGGTACCCGGTTATATCCGGTTCTACGGATCCGGTTAATGTAATATGGGTATCATTTTAAAGGTTATAAAAATACCTTTCCATTGAGTGGTAATATGATGGGGTTATCTCAGATACCGACACCGGCTACGCGACAGAATTTCCTTGTTTTTATAGGGTTCTAAGGCCCATATCTTTTGATCCCCAATAGATACAGCCACATATCGCACGATTTTGGAA